CAATTATATCTTGCATGTTCCAGAGTAGGCAAACCAGACAAAGAAGCAGCAAGAAATACCATTTACCCACAAGCATAAAGAAATTACATATATTAGAAAGCAACAGTTTCTCATTACTCTATTTTCCAGATCACCAGACTGGGCCACAGCAACGTATGGCAGGGGACGGCTACTAAATAAATAAATAAGTTGAACAAAAATAGATGTTTGAGAAATACTGTACACCATTGTGCCCTTTTTTATAAAGAGGAAGCTATCTACTACAACAAATGTTGGCTAAGCAAAGCAGATAATGTTTTCTCGTGGCATATGATATGGGTGTGTTCGGTGATTACTGCTTTTTTACTGGATGTGTTTCAACATACTCATTTTGTATTAGAAAACTCTTTGGTATTAGTCGAAGCACATGCTCTTTCAAATTACATTCTTATAATGTGAAATTTAACAGAAGGTCAGTGTTCTTGCATTTTGCTTGCTTTTATTGTTGCAGAGAAAAAAAATACCTTGGGCACCAAGGCTGGAAAGATAAACATTGGGCCTCGATTGTTCAGTGGTCAGAAGAAGGGCTACACACACACACACACACACACACACACACACACACATGAAAAACTGGGGAAACTGGATAAGGTCAATGGGAGGCTAGTTTATGTACTGTGGAAAAAAAATGCTGTATGAAACTCTGAGACCTCCATAAGATTAAGTTCTATAGAAAGCGAGAGGAACAGACAGGTTGTGCCAACAGCCCCAGGGAAATGCCCTGAAGACAAGTTACAAGAAAAGAGCTGGCAGTGCCAGGGCAGAAATTGAGCAAAAGAGATGGATCGCTTAAAATGAACACAGGAGGGGGCTCCCGTGCCTGTCACACTCAATCCAGAGACACGCTTCTGATGTGGCTCTTTTCAAGGTGGGAGTGGAGGGGCTCCATAAAGCAACAGTATAGGTTTATTTCACCATACTCATAAACACACTGTGTTTACAGCACACCGTTTTTTGGGGAAAGACTAAAGAGGAGAAAAGAGGCAGCAGCTCAACACTCCTTATCTTTAAACAAGACCCACAGAGTTTGTGTTTGTGTGAAACAAAGAAATGCAGAGCACTTGAATAAAGGATCAGGAGTCTATCTTAGCTGATGTCTAAATACTGTGTTGTAAAATGTGTAACGTAAGAATATGATGTACTATTGTTAAAATCCTGAAATGTAATAGGGTGAAGAAAGGTCAAAAATAAATATTTTATAACTAATATTACTGATAAGATATGTTATGCAATGAATTTCTGCAACCACGAGCAGACGTTTTTGCTGTTTAGAGCAGCCTTCCCAATTTTTTTTTACCCTGGAGAAACCAGTGAAATAATACCGAGGTCTCAGAGAACCCTTGCCTAAAAATTATTATATTTATGTCTCTGTGCCTTCAAACACACTAAAGGCACTAGATCTCATCTGACTTTATAAACTAAGCAGGGTCAGCTATGTTTTGGATAGGAGTCCGCCAGCAAATACCAGGTGCTGTGGGATATATTTCAGAGGAAGGAACTGGCAAAACCTTCTCTGAGTATTCCTTGTTAAAGAAAACCCAATGAAATGTATGAGATCACTATTAGACAGTAGGTAATTTGAAGGCATACAGAGAGAGAGAGAGAGAGAGAGAGAGAGTCACTTATAAACTTATGTTGACCCCTGAAATTCCATAGGTTTTCCCAGTTCCTTCCACTTAAATATTTGTTGGCAATATCCCATCCAAGTTCTAACTTTGGCAATCCCTGCTTAGGTTCCAAGATCAAACGGATTTGGGGTCTTTAAGATATTTAAGCCATTTATTATATTTACAACAACAACAACAACAACATCAACAATAACAACACTTGAGTTATATTCTGCCCTATCTCCCCAAGGAGAATCAGGGTGGAGTCCAGTATACACAACACAAAGCTAAACATTCAATGCCTAGAAACAATGAAATACAAATAAAGGTAAAGGCTTCCCATTCTAGCTCTGAGGGGTGGTGCTCATCACCGGTGCTCATTTCAATTTCTAAGCCAAAAAGCCTGGGTTGTCCATTGCCTTTAAACACCTCCTAGGTCATGTGCCTGGCATGACCTGCATGGAGTGCCATTTACCTTCCTGCGAGGCAGTGCCTGTTGATCTACTCACATTTGCATGTTTTCAAGTTTCTAGGTTGGCAGAAGCTGGGGCTAACAGTGGGAGCTCACCCACTGATGAGCAGATTTGAACTGCCTACCTTATGGGCAGCAAGTTCAGCAGCTCAGTGGTTTAATCTGTTGCACAATTGCAGATATAATCAGAATTATTCTGTACTGATCTCTCACAAAACCACACGTGACCTCTTGTGGAATTTTACTATTCCAGGGAACCTTGGTTGAAAAGTCCTGGCTTAGGCAGTTTAGGAAAAGAGGAAGATTAGATTACAGATGTATATATTATTACAGATGTATATATTAAATCAAAGCAGTTCCTTTGGTGCTGAATTTACAAGGCCTGTGGAGGGATGTTGCTTATCCCAGTTTAAGGCCTCTAAAACAAGTTTGTGTTGTGCATCATTTTAATACGGCATCTTTGAAATGCCTTCACATTAAGTGGCGGGTGTAGATGCACCCTAGAGCTCTTGGAGGAACCACTGTGGGCCCTGTGTGTCTGCTGGGGTTTAGTCTAAGGACTCCTGCAGATACCAAAATCCAAGTCAGGCTCAGTCTGAAAATGGCTGGGCCCTCAGTAGGTATCTACAAGAATTTGGTTCCAGGACTTCTCATGAACACCAAAATCAAAGGATGTTCAAGTCCCATTATATGCAATGGCATAGTAAAATAGTATATGTTATATAAAATGGCACAACCAGGTTTGCTTTTTGGAATTTTACAAAACATTATCAAGCTGTAGATGCAGAACCCACGTAGGGAGGGCCTGCTTCACAGTGACTTCAAACTATGGCTTTGAGTCTGGTTCCAGAGGGGAAAGGGAGTACAAACAGATGTAATAATATTTCATTAGCTGATGAAGAAACATGACCTACAAACTATCTACAGACTCACTAAGAAAATCCAACAAATGCTACATTCGGCAAAGGACAAGAGGGATCCCCTCATCTCTGCAGGAGCCTACCGTATACCATGCAGCTGTGGACAAGTCTACATAGTGACCATCAAAAGCAGCATTGCCCAAACACGAATCAAGGAACATGAAAGACACTGCAGACTACTTCAACCAGAGAAGTCAGCCATAGCAGAGCACCTGATGAACCAACCTGGACACAGCATATTATCTGAGACCACAGAAATGCTGGACCACTCTGACAACTACCATATCAGCCTACACAAAGAAGCCATTGAAATCCACAAGCATGTGGACAACAGACAGGATGTTTAGCTGCAACCCAGCTTTTTCACTTTCTTCTTTTACCTTGGTTAGAAGGTGTTTAATGCGGTTTCCAAATGCCTGAACCTAAGAGCGTAGATCCTAGTTCAGGCATGGGCAAACTTGGGCCCTCCAGGTGTTTTGGACTTCAAATCTCACCATGACCTGTCTGCATGCATCTCCCTCTATGAACCATCATGGAGATTAAGATCCTCTGGGGGAGGCCCTGCTCTCTGTCCCACCACTGTCATAGGCGTGACTGGCAGGGAGAAGAGAGAGGGTCTTCTCTGTGAGTGCCCCTTGATTGTGGAACTCTCTTCCTGGTGAGATTAAAGCAGCCCCTTCCCTCCTGTCCTTCAGAAGGATGATGAAAACTTGGCTGTGGGACCAAGCCTTTGAGACACTGCAATAAGGCAGCAATAGGAGCCCCCGGTGGCACAGTGGGTAAAAAGGCAGAGCTGCTGAACTTGCTGACTGAAAGGTCGCAGGTTCGAATCCAGGGAGTGGGGTGAGCTTCTGCTGATAGCCCCAGCTTCTGCCAACCTAGCAGTCCCAAAACATGCAAATGTGAGTAGATTAATAGGTACTGCTCCGGCAAGAAGGTAATGGCACTCGATGCAGTCATGCTAACCACATGACCTTGGAGGTGTCAACACCAGGTGTCTTAGAAATGGAGATGAGCACCACCCTCCAGAGTTGGACACCACTGGACTTAATGTCAGGGGAAAACATTTGCCTTTGCCTTTACTAGGAAACTTGAGGAACCCCTGGTGGGGTGGCGCAATAGGTTAAACCCTTGTGCTGGCAGGACTGAAGAGGGGCAGGTTGGAGGTTCGAATCTGGGGAGACTGCGGATGAGCTCCCTCTGTCAGCTCCAGCTCCACATGCGGGGACATGAGAGAAGCCTCCCACAAGGATGGTAAAACATCTGGGTGTCCCCTGGGCAACGTCCTTGTTTTGTTGTTTATTCATTTAGTCGCTTCCGACTCTTTGTGACCTCATGGACCAGCCCATGCCAGAGCTCCCTGTTGACCATCACTACCCCCAGCTCCTTCAAGATCAAGCCAGTCACTTCAAGGATACCACCATCCATCCATCTTTGCCTCTAATATCCTTCCCTCCAATGAGCAGTTCTTGCAGATGGCCAATTCTTTTGCATCAGAAGTAACTTGCAGTTTCTCAAGTCGCTCCTGACACAAAAAACACAAAAAAACAAAAAACCTTATCACACTAGAGAGAAAAAAATCCACTTAAAATCCGCTTTCTGCCTCCTGCAGAATTCTGGGGTTTGTAGTTTAGGGAGGAGCCTTTAACAGCCTCACTAAACTACAAACCCCAGAATTCTGCAGGAGGCAGAAATCGGATTTTAAGTGGATTTTTTCTCTCTAGTGTGATGAAGTGCTTGCAGCCAGGATGATTGAGACGGTTTAAGCAACGGAGTTGAACGAATGGTGGGAGCTGAAGTCCAAAACACCTGGAGGGAGGGCCCAAGTTTTGCCCATGCATGCCTGGCGTCGATCCGGGGGAAAGTTTTCCACAACTCGAGCGAGCAAGCCCTGCCACACCTCCTTCCTTGCCTGCCTGGCTACCGGCGGAGGGGGGCGGGCTCGGGGCTTTGCTCCCCTCCCTCCTCGCCTTCTCCTTCCTCGAAACGCGTCGTCCCTTCCCCACGATCGCGCGTCGCCCCCTTTTGTTCCCCTCCTTCCTTCGGGGAAGCCGCGATCCGTGCCATCGGCGCTTGATTATTTGCAAACTCCCTGTGCCTTCCCTCTTGCCCCCCCCTTCTCCCTCTCTCTTTGCCTCCTCCTCCTCCTTCTCCTCGTTCTCTCATTGCTCTCCCTTCTCCGACAACTTTTGCAGCCATCTCCCGGCCAGGACCGGCATGCGGAGCTGAGAGAGACCCCCTTTTTGTGGCTGCCTCTCCTTCCCCCCTGCTTGAAGACCGAAGGGGGTCCCGGTGGTTTGGGGAGGAGGGGACTGGGGAGAGGTGCCTTCTCCTCCGCTTGACCTCTCCTCCTCCCCCTCCTCCTGCTTCTCCTCCTCCTTCTTCGCCCTGCCTTGCCTTCCCTTTGAGCGGCTGCGGAGAGAAAGGGATGCGGGCAGGAGGCGGCTGGGCGACGCGGCGGCGGCGGTGGAGGAGGCTCCTCTCCGGAGAGACCCAGAGTCGGCTCAAGATGGCAGATTGCGATTGAGTTTTTTGCCACGCCGGGGGAGGGAGGAGGGGGGCCCAGGAGGAAGAGGAGGAAGAAGAGGAGAAGGAGGAGGAGGAGGCGAGGAAGGGGCTCCCCTTTGGAAGAAGGAGAAAAAGAAGAACCCACAGGCACTGAGACAACCCTGCTTCGCTGGCGTCGCCTTTCGTGGCCATGAATAACAGGCAAACCTCGCACCCATGGCCCCCATGTACGAAGGTAAGCCCCGGCGCAGCAGAAGCCCTTTCTTTCCCATCGGAAGCAGAGGAGGAGGAGGAAGAGACCGGGGGTACAGTCTATCTAAAACGGAGCAAACCCGGCAATTGGAAGGGATTCGGGATTAGAAGGAGAAGGGTGACCACCGATTTGGGGAACACCCCCTTTCACTATGGGGTTGCAGGGGGGGGGGTTCTTCTACACTTCCCCCCCCCTGCTTTGTGTCTATGGGATTCTCCCTCTGTATACTGGAGGATGGCTCTGGCGAGGGAGAACTAAGGTTTCGAGCATAACAACAATCACAATCAGGGATTCCTGTTATTCCTCTGCGCCTTCTCTACCTAAGCAGGCTGGTGCCTCACCAAACTGTTACTATTATACTTAATGTTATATTATAGTCTTATATTACTACTTCTATTATATTTTCTATTATGTTTATTGTATTTTATAGGATTGCTTTTAGTCTATTTTATATTATTATTATACTATTTATATTACTACTTTTATACTATTATTATTATATTTTCTATTAATCTTATCATTTTATATTATAATAATAATTATTTTTTCTATAACTACTTTTATTATATTTTCTGTTATGATTATTGTAATTTGTAGGACTACTTTTATTCTATTTAATATTATTATAATTCTATTTATATTACCACTCCTATTATAATTTTATTATAATTATTATATTTTCTATTTTATCATTTTTATATTATTATAATTATTATATTTTCTATTAATACTTTTATTATATTTTATATCATTATAATTATTATATTTTCTATTACTTGTATTATATTTTATATTTTTATTATATTTTCTATTACTACTTTTATTATATTTTATATCATTATAATTATTATATTTTCTATTACTTACTTGTATTATATTATATATTTTTATTATATTTTCTATTACTACTTTTATTATATTTTATATTATTATAATTCTATTTATATTACTACCTTTACTATATTTTATATTATTACAATCATTATATTTTCTATTACTACTTTTATTTATATTATAATTATATTTATATTGCTACTTTTATTATATTTTCTATTATTGCAATTATTGTATTTTCTATTACTACTTTTATTATATTTTCTATTATTCTATTTATATTACTACTTTTATTATATATTATATTATTATTTTATTTTATGTTGCATATTAGTACTACTTTTATTATAATTTATATTATAACTACTACTTTTATTATATTATTGTATGTGGTACTTAATAATTTATTATTATTATTATTATTATTAATGTATTAGTATCATTATCACCATCATTTTGAGGGGTTTTTCTTCCCCTCCCTGCTCTCTCCCCGCCCCCTTCGGGAGCCGGTCCTTTGGAGAACCTTTCTTCTTCCTCTCTCTCCCCCCCCCCTTTCCCCCCAGGGACGAGACAGTAGACAGTGCGGGAGGTCTAGACTACCTGGGGACAGGGCCCAGGCTTAGCAAAGTCTCTCTGCGGGAACAATGCCTTTTGACAGACGGCTGCCCGCAATCTCCGGCCTCGATCCTCGGCAAAAGAACCCACGGAAAGTCCTGCAGCTGCGTCACTCGCTGGCCCCGCTCCCCCCACCCTCACCACCCGTGGGTCTGGGCAGCTGAGTGCCTTTGCAGTGCCAGAGGTTTTATTTTCATTTTTTTTAGTGTGAAACATGGGAATCCTTGCTATAGGGAGAGATCTACACTGTAAAATGTATGTAGCTTGACACCCTCTTTGAAGTGCAGTGTCAGACTGCATCCACTCTACAGTGTAGATCAGGCCTGGGCCAACTTGGGCCCTCCAGGTGTTTTGGACTCCAACTCCCACAATTCCTAACGACCTCACACTTAAGTGGGTGAGGGGGAAAAGGAAAGGGTCTGAGGCAGTTAGGAATTGTGGGAGCTGGAGTACAAAGCACCTGGAGGGCCCAAGTTGGCCCATGCCTAGTGTAGATACACCCACATCTATAGCAGTACATGTGTGCATCCTCAATCTGCAGTCCTCCAGTTGTTTGGGCCTTCAACTCCCAGAATTCCTTACAATTGAACAAGCTCATTAGGGCTACTGGGAGTTAGAGGCCCAAACAGCTGGAGGGCCACAGTTTGAAGATGCCTGGTCTATACTTCCAAAGAAAGTGTTTTGTGCTCATTAAAATATCACAATGGATCTTCTTTTGGTTTTGAGCTAAACAAGCTTGAGTTTGAATGGCACCGAGTTGATTAAAGTGCATGAAGTTGCCTTTTATATGTGTGTGTGTGTTTTGCTCTGGATCTTATTCTCAGTTGCTTTCCTTGTCCTTTTCCCAAGCTTCATGGGAGTGGGGGGGGGGGGGGGAAGAAAATCGGTCATAAATCAACCCAGTTTAATAAGAATCCTCTAGTGCTTTGATCACTTTTTGAACTACTCTTTGACCGTGTAACTACGTTACAGTAATTGCCGGGTAACCACATTACAGTAATTGCATTGGGGGCGTGTGCCTTGACTGTCCTTTGAAATGCCAAGCCTTTCTTTCTTTGCAGGGTGCGTCTACACCGCAGAATGAATGCAGTTTGCTGCCACCTTAATTGCCTGGCTCAGTGGCATGACATGATTAGAGCTATAGTCTTACAAGGTCTTTAGCCTTCCCTGCTGAAGAATGCCAAGCTACAGGATTTTATATGAACAAGGCAGTTAAAGCAGTGTCAAACTGCATTCATTCCACACTGTAGATGCACCTTAAGAAGCGAGACTTTTAGCCTTCCAAAGAAAGGCGAGCAAACTTACAGAAAACCCATCCTTAGTTCCTTCTCTTTGCTTTCTTTGAGATATTAAGTTACCGATCTGAAAGCCGATGGCAGTAGAGGTCAATTTTAGTGAAATATTGGTTCTGGATTTGTGGGCATTCATGTTTTTTTTCCTAATGGTTTTGCAAAAGGAAAGGGAGAAAGCAAACCATGTTATTGTTCCAAGGTTTTCTCCTCCTCCTCCTCCTCCTCTTCCCCATTCCAGATGGTGAACCTTTCAGGTCAAAAGGTAGCCATGGGGTTGGGGGGTGGGGGGAAAGGAAAAGGCACAATAAAAGGCATGATAATATTACGAAGGAATGGATTTCAAGAAGGTTATGAGAAGGAAAGGAGGGTGAGAAGCAAATGAGAGGCCTTCTGTGGCTGCAGCCAACAAAGAAAGAGAGTTGTATTATTAAATATTATTTTGTTGTAAAAAATAATCTAAAGAGATCGAATCTGACTGGTTTTTTATAAAGGTCTTTTTAACAGACCTCCCTAAAGCGCCCTCTGCTGGATGATTGTGTTGCGGTGGTCTTTTCTGGGAAAGTAACTTCTGTGCAAAGTACCCACATTTTCATGGCCATGTGACAATAATAGAATGAGTATTCTTGCCCACACTTTGCACATGAGCATCTGTTTCATGCTTATCTCAGCCATTGCACCGTCAGTTCAGGGCCCCATGCATGTGAGTGTGTCATGTTACCTAACAACAGCCCTGTAATGTAGGATGGGCTGAAGAAAATGAGACAGCAATTGGCCCAGTGAGCTTCCTGGCTTCAGGGAAGGAGCCAAACACATGCCTGTCCTGACTGAGGGCACATCTCCATTATAGAGTTAATGCAGTTTAACACTGTTTGAACTGCCATTTCTCAATGTGATGGAGTTGTAATATTATTATTATTACTATTATTAATAATATTTTTAATTTATACCCCAACCCCTCTCCCTGAAGGAACTCGGGGCGGCTTACAACAAGCAATAATACAAAAATATAAGCAATACATGATAAACAACAATAACAAAAACAATTATCATTTAGTGGGTTGTTGTGAGTTTTCTGAGCTATATGGCCATGTTCCAGAACTATTTTCTCCTGATGTTTCACCCACATCTATGGCAGGCATCCTCAAAGGTTGTGAGGTCTCAGATATAAACACTCTACTTGCCTAGTTTCCAACAGACCTCACAACCTGCCATAGATGTGGGTGAAACGTCAGGAGAGAATGCTAATGGAACATGGCCTTACAGTCCGGAAAACTCACAGCAACTCAGCCATTCCGCCCGTAAAATCTTCGACAACACAATTATAATTTAATTTTGCAAGATCTTAACCACCTCTGCCCAAGAGTCTGATGCCTCACTGAACTACAACTCCCATGCATCATGGCAGTTAAAGTGATGTCAAATTGCATTAATTCTACAGTGTAAATGAACCCAGAATCTGCCCCTAAACATGATACTTCGTTGGCTTTTGATACTGTAGCATAAGATTGTCGTTGTTGTTGAGCTCCCTTGCCTGTCAGCCTTAGTCAGCCCAGTCAGTAGTGAGACATGATGGGACTTATAGTTTACCTGGAAAGGGAAAGGTAGCAAATCTCCCGTGATCATCTTTCAGTTTCAACCACATCATTGCTACCTTGCAGTCTTATTAAAATGGTACCCAGATGCTTTGCTTCCTTTCCTCCCTTAAGGTGAGCCTTGGGATGGGATTTAAAACATGAAGCTGCCTTGGGGAAAAGTCAGGACATAAATCAACAAATACTAAACTTGACAAATATCTAACCCATATTTTTTCCTGTGTATCTTGCTATGCACCTGAGCAACATATAATTTTGCCTAAAATGGTTGATGCTGGTGGAGACTTGTTGGTAGAGAGTGCAATGACTTCCAGGTAACTCAACCTGTGCATAAGTGGTTTCTGCCCACAGGTGCCTGGCAAACTGCTGACCTCTTACCATAGTGAAAGGAAGATTGAACTACTAGTTTGGTCTGCTTCCCTATGTGAAGTTGTGGGACTGCGTGCCCATGCCATCTTCAGAGGTTTAATGATACATTTGAGGGACAAGCATCGTATTTAGGAGGTTGCAAAAAAGCAGTCAGCTGTGTTGATCCATAACAATAAACCAGTTCTCATGTCCTTAATTTCAACCAGGAGCAAGTCTTTTGTAAAGCTAATGGCTCTTAGTTGTGTGTTTAAGAGCAAACCATCAGAAAACAGAAAGATTA